AAAAAATCATACATCAACTATTTCATGTGATTGTATACATCATATACATTTACTTTTGTTATGCAAAAGTAAATTAGCAAATATTGACTACATTGACTTAACTAGGACAGCAAATAAGATTTTAGGATCAGGAGAAAAGCTATGGATTCAGATGTATATAGTAAGATGTATTTTAAGGAATGATGCAAAATAAGTATCACACGAGGGGATTTCATTGCCATTTCTAGACATCTATAAGTGAAAAAAATGCCAGACGTTAAGAGAATTTGTTCGAAGGGAGGAAGGAGCAGATTGAATTCCGCCTCTGCCTCTGAGGAGCTAAAACAGACTCTGAAGTTGACCTAAACGTTATCCTCCCAGTGGAGAATTATTGTCGGACACTCCAAGAAACTCCACCCTGATCTAGTGTCAGGTGTTGGGAAATATTCTTCTTTGTCCAAGACCTTAAAAAGCTGCCTCAGTCAGAGTAGAATCATAGAATAATTGAGTTGGAAGGGAGTAAGATCATCAAGTCCAGAGCCTTCTCAAGGCAGGAAGACACATCAAAGCAGATCTGACAGATGATTGCCCAATGTTCTCTTGAATATCTCTAGCATTGGAGCACTCACCGCCTGCCGAGGTTACTGGTTCCATTGTCTACTCTGTTACAGAAACAAATGGACCCATGGTCTGACCTAAAACACAGTAACTTCCTGTGCTTCTGTGAGGAGTTTCTCAAGAAGAAGATCATGCAAAACAGACACACACAATCAGATGGCTCCTTGCTATCAATGCCCCTCTTACGTAAACTGACTTGTGAGCTCTGCATGAACATCCTAAGAGAAAGGCAGAAGGTTCATCAAGATCTGTTAGCACAGAGGTTCCCAGCCTTGGGTCCCCAGGTGTTCTAGGACTAAAACTCCCAGAAGCCTGCACCACTAGCTGTGCTGGCCAAGATTTTGGGGAGTTATAGTTCAAGAACACCTGAGTTATAGGTGAAGAACATCTGGGAACCATTGTACTAGTTGTGTTATTTGCTACAGATTTTGTGCCAGATTTTGCAAAATTCTTTTGCAGCAAGGATTTCTAACTCCCAATCATTTAACATTCACATTTTTAAAAAAAAAAAAAAAAGATCCTTAAGTTCCATGTAAATAGTGACATTTAAAAAAGGTATTGGGAGAAACCAGAAATAACTATGCATGTGGATACATAGTGAGCTGCGATCAGTAGTAGCACCCTCTCCAAATTCTCAGGCAAATAATGTTTTAATTCAGAGTCCATAACTCTTTGTAACAACTTGGTGGGTCTCAAGGTTCTATGGAAAAGCAAAGTTGGACATAGATAACTTAAGTCTACCCATGCCCAGCCTAGAACATAAGCAGGAACCTTGTGGAAGGTCCACAGATACTCAGGGATTCCTCAGCAGACCAGTTGATGTGAAAAGTGATCCCAAATGGAGAAAGTGTAGAAACCACCAGCTTAAAGAATGCAAGCATCTTTGTTTCATGTTGTTAACATCATGCTTGAGACCTCTGTGTTGTTCACATCCATGGCTGGCCTTGACAGTTGTCTCTAGGCAGCAGTGTGTCACCTGGTCCTCTGAGCCCCCCTGCTTCTTCCTATGAAACGGTGCCAAAGCGGTGGGCTTCTTGTTTATTATTAGCTATGCATTTGAGCTAATTTCTCAGATGGCTCACGGCTTAGATCTTTCCCACCTCCTTTGTGCAATCCAGCTCCCGGTTTCCAGGGGCACATTAGCTTTGATTGCAAATGGTTTTCATTAAACAAAAATGTTAATTCTGTTGTTGTTTGATTCCAGATGAGTTTAGAGAACGATGATAAGCGAGCACGTACGCGATCAAAGGCAATCAGAGGTGAGCACTTGGTTATTTCTCCCGTGTAGAATTATGTGAGCAGGTGGTTCAATCTGTGAGTATGCCTTTGTGTGGTTCCTCTGAAGGTACTTCTCTCTGAAGCCCGTGATCCTAATCTTGTGTGGGCATGTGTTCCTGCACGCATGTGATTTTAAAGACATAGACACCCTCTCCCCAACTTTTTTTGTTGGTTTGTTTCCGTTTTAGCTAAATGGTCTGTTCATTTCGTGACTTACATGAGCAATGGTCCAATGGGCTAAACAGGCATAGGAAGGAGAACAAGCTAGCCTTCCCATGATCTACCCTATTGTTACTTTATTCATGTGGAGCCACAAATCTAAAGAAGAGGTCATCATTGACCTGCTACTATTTTCTGCCCACGCTGGAATACCGTGAAATCAAAGCTCTGGCTTGCGTGGAAAGCCTTTGTGAATCAGCATATTTCCCGTCTTCAGATCTGTCCGTTCATCTCACCAAATCAACCATGGCAGTGCTGGGGTTCACTTACTCCCCTTCCGTAGATGCCTGTCCCTCTTGGATAACTGAATGAACAAGTAGGACTAAGGACATTCGGAGGAAGCCTTTCCAAGCCCCAGCCTGATTCTTCCCTCTGCTGCTTCTCTGTCTTTAAAACGCAGCCTCGTATCCTTTGCTTCATAGAAATCTTGATAGCTTCAGATCACTTTTATCGTTTGTGCTCGGCCCGACGCTTTGAAGTCACACATCTGAGAAAGGCCGCAGAGGATGCGCCGTTGCCAAAGCAAACTCGGCTGTCTCGTGACGGGGGTTTGAAGACAAATGACTTGTTAATTCAAAGCCTGATTGCTATTTATTTTCTCACTTTGAAAAGGAAATGCATGCATGCTTTTCACCTAGCAGAAGGAAAGAAGTCTGACACAGACGACCAGATCATCGCCATGAACCCTTTAAAACACAATTGGGCTCTCAACAACTGAAATCCAAATGATGACATTTAAATTTGGTTGCACCATTTTGAATGAATCGTTCAGGACATATCTGGAAGGGGCTGTGTAAATCTGTTTATATTCATGTTGTTAATTATTGCTTAAGTGATTTGTCTCCCAGTAGTTTTGTTTAAACTCTCTTTTGAGGCATCCAGAAATAGATATCCAGATTTCAGGATATGATCATCACTAGTTTTTTCATTTTTTAAAAAAAGAGTTCAGATTCCCCTACAGGTTCATTTGCATTTTACAGCAGATTTTGGGAATGTTGGCCATCCAGATAATTCTTGACTTCAGCTTCAAGATAGCACAGCCAGAATGGCCAGTGACCTAGGACTATAGTTGCACAAAGCCTCTGAATAGCCAGATGTTCTCCAGAACTACTTTGATCAGAAAGCCATCAATGTGATGATTGCCAAGTTGGCCACTTCCACAAAAAAGATCTTTGGATGCTGTTCTGTTGCTTGGATGATTTTTAGGTATTTAAAATGGTATTTTAGATAAATTTGGGAAATACAGTGGTGCCTTAACTTACGACCGTAATCCATTCCAGAAAATGGACGTAATTCGAAATGGCCATAAATTGAAGCACCATTTCCCATAGGAATGCATTGGAACGGGATTAATCCATTCCAGCAGGAAAAAAAATCACACACACACAAAAAAAACCACAGCCAGCAAAGCAAAAAAGCACACACATTCCACAGTAAGCCCCATCGGATAGCAATAGGGCTGGGGGAAAAATCAGAAAAACACACTCACAGCACAGAAACATAACTCCCCCAAACCCAAACCCACACTGCAAAACAAAGTAAATGTACTTACTCATGAGCAGAAAGCGGCACAAGGCAGTCTGAAGCCTCCTCCGACACCCACTCTCTAACCGTTGGGGCAAAAGAGGTACAAAGAAGTTCTTCGCCGACCAACGGTTAACCCTCTAATTTGAATTCCCCGCCTTTTCCCCTGCCTCTTTTGATCGCAAGTCAAAGCAAAATGTTGAGGCCAGAGCTGGTCACAACTCAAAATGGTCGTAAGTCGAGGCACCACTGTAGTAAAGATATGGGCAAATTATCACCAATATCTATCTGCTCCATCCTGCATATTCCAAGTGGACATCGAATTGTGTCTTTTTTAATTATTTATTTAAATTTACAGTAGTTATTTAAACTATTTTTAACCCACCTTTCTACTTAAAGAAATACCCAAGATGGCTTACAACAATTAAAAGACAGCATTTAAGCTAATAAGGGTGAGTGTACAATACTAAATGGATCAATATGAATACGATACTCAAAAATCAAGCGGCATCAAAACACATTTAATGCAGTAAGGTATAACAATCTATTTTTTTTAAAAAAAGCCCACTCAGGCAGCCGTTTGCTCAAGGAAAGCTTGCCTGAGGATAAAGGTCTTTGCCTGCTTTCAGAATGACAGTAAAGATGGGGCCCGCCTGGCCTCCTGAGGGAGTTTGGGAGCAGCCACAGAGGAGGCCCTCTCCTGTGTCCCCACCAAGCGCAGCTGTGAGGGTGGTGGAACCAAGAGAAAGGCCTCCCCTGATGACCTTAACACCAAGGGCAGGCTCAAAAAGGGAGGTGAGGTCCTTGGGCCCAAGCCATTTAGGGCTTTATAGGTTACCACCAGCGCTTCAAGCTATGCCGAGAAATGGATCAGCGGCCGTGTCTATGGGGGCATAATTTCCACTGGCCTCACAGGAACCATTTAACGCCTTCTCCCACTATTGCACTTAAGCTAGATGCATTTCTAGTGTGCCATGATGCCCTCAACCATGAGTTACAAAAAGAGGACTGTGCGTTGGGATGCTCTGTGGCACACAGATTACTCAAATAGCCTGCCTTTGGAGCCCTAAGGTAGAGGTGAGCAGCATGACTCTCCAGCACCCTGGCCCTCTAGCGTCCCTACACACCGGGAAAGTTTTGTTTAAAATGGCTCAAATGGTCTCTTTTGAGCCATTCTGCACTGGGGAGTGCGGAAGCACTTTTGCCATCTTTTGAGGGAGTCCTCCAGGCTCCCACGTTGATCAGCTTGGTGTTCGGAATGGGATGAAACCCAGATCCTGTGAAAGATCCCTCGTTTGGGTCTGAATGCCTAGAAAAGTCAAGCTTTGCAACCCCTTTTGAAATTCCACGACAAGTCACGCATTCGCTTGTCATACGCAGTCAACATTTTCTTGTCTGTGACTTCTCCTTTGATGTTGAAACTCTCTGCTAGAAATAATCTCTATAATTGCAAAGGAGTTCATGCCAGCCGTTCTCCTGGTGGGTGAGGCTAGTGGTTCTGCTGTGTGTAACTGAACCATGGTTAACACAATGCTGCAACCAAAGTCAGTATCCTAGACCACACTTTCCCAATAGAAAATGAAATACATGACACCACTGGTCCTGTGTCATGAAGAGTCTAGAGCTACTTCTTCCAAGCGCTCCTGGAATAACCCTGTAGCCATGCTAGTTGAGGGATGTTAAGAGTTGTAGACTCTAGGTAAAAAAAATTTCTGAGCTCTGCTCATGAACCATCATGTTTATTTTCCTGCCAGAGGTAATTGGTGAGCTCCCCTAAAGCTATAGCTGCAGAAGTTGATCCTACCTCTGTTGTCCATTGGGGGGGAAAAGCCATCATTGTTTACACCAACTGAAAAGTCACAGAAACAATAAGCACACTTTCAAGGTCTCCAGAATTGTTCTTCTAGATGGAAGCTAAATAAAACATGGTGGAGAGATTGGACATCCAGGTCTACACTTTGTGCAATCACAGGTATAAATCTAATTGTTACTCCCAGCTAGAATACGTACACTCATTGGCTGCAATCCTGTTGCCTACTATAGTAGGTTTCATCTAAAGTGGACCCATTTGAATCAATGGCACATATGAAGGAGTTGACTCATTAAATCCCCACTGATTTAGTAGGTCTGCTCTAGTTGCAATATATTCACATTATTATAATGAGCAACACGATTTCAGCCATTGAATGTGAATGGGGACTTGGTAGGTTCATAGATGTGCAAATCCCCGATTTATTAGGTCTACTCTAGTTTGGACTAACAAGTGCTGTAGTGCAGGAGGGGCAGTGCAAATTTGATCATATGAGCTTCTCCTAGATGTTAGAAAGAATGCACCTGCGATGGACAGTAGCCGGGTTAGATGGTCCAGCATTCTAACATAATATAAGGTAGCTTCATACAGCATAACTGGGATGCTTTATCCATATAGATGCTATTCTTTGGCAAGTACCATATTTTTCTGTGTATAAGACTATACTTTTGTCTAAAATCTTTAGACTAAAAATTGAGGGTCGTCTTATACACGGAAGTAAGTTGAGGAGAGAACAAAAACAAGTGGAGGGGAAAGCAGGAATCAAAGCGATCCTGCAGCACTTTGATCCCTTTCCTCCTACACTTGCTAAGCCCCACTTAGATTTCTTAATTTTGGATTAGAAAAGTGTGGGGGGTGTCTTATGCATGGGGGCGTCTTATACATGGAAAAATACGGTATGTAAACCTTTGTTTCTCCTACCTTCAATCACAGCCCTAGAGAAATAGGGCTACAGCCCAATTCAAGATCACTCACTTAACTTTCCAGCCCAGCAAGGGAAGGTGTCTGGATCATCTGTTCTCCAAAAACAAATATTTCCAGTTTCAAAACAAACAGGAGGGAGGCCTGGAACACCAGCTGCATTGCCTAGTGAACACAGCCCTGTTTGTACAGGCATATTATACCTTTACCCTGTTACAGCTGCAGGACAAGATATGTGGTTTTCAAGCATTTCCCCTTTTCTGTGTCTTACCACAGTACCTGCAGAACTCATCGGCCAGGAGGTGAGGTAAGAAAAAAGAAAATCCTCCATTCACCTTTCACTTTGTACGCAAGCTTTCAACAAAGCGTAGGAAATATTGTGTCAGAGATGTGGCGAGCTCTTACGGAAACTCTGCTGTCAGATGAAAACCTTTCACTCATCCTTTGATCCCCGTTTGATGCCACCTTAGCCACAGTACCTGCAGAACTCATCGGCCAGGAGGTGAGGTAAGAAAAAAGAAAATCCTCCATTCACCTTTCACTTTGTACGCAAGCTTTCAACAAAGCGTAGGAAATATTGTGTCAGAGATGTGGCGAGCTCTTACGGAAACTCTGCTGTCAGATGAAAACCTTTCACTCATCCTTTGATCCCCGTTTGATGCCACCTTAGTGTGCATTGGGAAAAAAATCACCCTTGATTGGATCTCGGGAAATAACTGGCTTCCATTTGCCCGCATTTTTAAAAACGGGCAGTGCACTAAACTAGATATCAAAGGAGCCATAGAGATGGTTTAACCCCTACCAATGAATACAGAGCGACTTGTGCTGGCAGGGTTTCCCATGGGAGGCAAGAGAGTCATGGAAGTTCAAGGCCACCAAGCTCTGACAATCCCCAGGTGAAAGCCATCAATTCCACCACCCGGTCATCTTTTCATCCTCCCCGCTCAGCCTTTCAGAATCTATGAAAACTGAATTGTTGATGGGGTATTCGGTGCTTTTTAAACACAGCTTCCCAGCGGGAAGGCTGTGAGAGGGATTGAAGGAAGTCTTGAAGAACTTCACATGGCTTCAAACTGAAGAGCTGACAAATTACAGTCCCCCCCCCAAAAAAAAAGCCAGTGAGCGCGATTAGAAACACACCTGTTTGAGAGAGATGTACTCCGTTGCATGGAGCAAATGATAGGGGCTGCCTTTCCTCTCCCTTTTGATTAGAAAATCTCCTGCATCAAATGTAATTGGACCTTAACCTGACCCAGCTTTCTAGGGTGTTTGTGCTGCAAGAACCTGCTGTTTCTCTGGAGATACAGGTTTAAGAGAGCAGCAGGCACACCGCTTGTCTAGGTTTTATTGCTGAACACATGAGTGGAGGTGGTAATTGAAGCCGGTGACATATTTAAGGGGCAGCTCGGAGGGCTGCACAGAGCCATTGCCGCAGCTGTCCTCTAATTGCCTGATTAACTGGACGATTAATCGACTAATTGACGCCCAGGCTGGGTCTGTGTGGCAAAAAGAAAGAAAGAAAGGATGCCGTGAAAGGAATTAGCAGTTCTGCAAAGAGTAGGGGAGCCAGTCAAAGACAGAGGTGGGAATGTTGCCAGGGCAAAGAGGAAACAGGGTTAGAATGATAACAATAACCTTTGAACTGCAGAGCTAAAAGGGACCCTCTAGATCATTGAGTCCGGGGAGATGCCGCCAGACAACCTCTGGCTCCACAGCCAGAGACTTAAGACACTGAGCAAGCTACACACACAGCATGTTGATAGGGCATGGGTTGTTCGTTATCTAATTTAAATGTTTTCCTATGGTTTCCCATGGTCAAGCTCCTTCTCCCCAGCCCTTGCCCTAGGCAACTCACAAGATAGAAAATTCAAAAGCATAATGAGCACAACTCCTGAAACCATTTGAGCTATGAAGATGCCATTTTTGCAAAGAGTAGAAGGGCTTCTAGATAGCTCCTTTGACCCATCCACAGGAACACGTATGCCATTTCCCTGGATTTGCGGTTCTCCTGTTTATTTATTTATTTATTTATTCTATTTATATCCCGCCTATCTGGTCATTATGACCACTCTAGGCAGCTTACAGAGTCATAATACTATAATAAAATAATAATTAAAAGGAGTTATTACATTAAATAGTCAAGGATGGGGAGGAAAAATGAAAGATAAACCACAAAGAAAAGAAGAGAAACAGATATTGTCTTCTCCCTTTCTTCCATTTCATTCATTCATTCATTCATTCATTCGTTCATTCATTCATTCATTCATTCATTCATTCATTCATTCATTCATTCATTCCCTTTTTATACCACCCCACCATTCTGGGTGGTTCACAACAAGCAGAATAGGATATAAATATCAAAAACATAAAGAACCTATAGAAATAAGACCATCAAAAGAAACATAATGTAAGCACACGTTTCTTTGGAAAGAGGAAAACACATGAAGCATCAGGCAGAGTCATTACAGCAGGCCTGCCTGAAGAGGAATGTTTTAAGCTGCCCTCTCAATGTGAGCAGGGAGGGTCCCAGATGTAGCTCTACCAGCAGCTGCTTCCATAGAGTTGGTGCCACCACAAAGGAGGCCCAGTTATTCGTAGAGGACTTACAGGGAGCCCCTCAGAGTGGCAGCAAAGAGGAGCATAGAGTGGGAGGATCTGGTGGACCTGGCAGATGACACTGGGGAAAGATGCTCTGACAAATAATATGGTCCCAAACCATGAAGGCTTTTATATGTGAGCATCAAAACCTTGAACTTGATCTAGGACACAACGGGTAAGCAGTGAAGGTGAGCCCAAACCGGTGACGGTGAGCCCAAACTGGTGTGATGTGGTCAAACTCTGACAAATAATATGGTCCAAGACCATGAAGGCTTTTATACGTGAGCATCAAAACCTTGAACTTGATCTGGGACACAATGGGTAAACAGTGAAGGTGAGCCCAAACCGGTGAAGGTGAGCCCAAACTGGTGTGATGTGGTCAAATTTGCTCACACCAGCCAGTCTAACTACAGCATTCTGGACCCACTGAAGTCTCCATGTCAGCCTCAAGGGAGGCCCCACGTAGAGAGCAATACAGTAGTCAATCCAGGAGATGACCTGTGCTTGCATCAGCCAGATATCTAGACCACTGAGGAAGATACAAAGTAGCAAAGACATAGGACAGAAATCGACAATAGCTGGACAGACAAAGTCATAGAATTGCACCAAAAGCCTGCGTTCAATTGCGTATGTGTCTATGTGTACATGCATATGTTAGTAATAAAATAAATAAATAAAAGCACCGTCAGTAGGAGGTGAATGCAGGAGATGTCTGGTTTTAAAAGGCGTGCTCTAACACATGCAAATCTTTAATTAAACATACTCATAAAACTATAATGAACTGTTCATTTAATTAAATGGGGTGAGTCATTTCATTAATTTTTAGCAAACTGCAGAGCCGCTGTATAACCTTTCTCGGTTGGAATTCAAAGAGCAGAGATGAACTGTTTAAAGGAAACGATCTCCCCCCCCCAGCATGGGGCGTTCAGGTGACTTCTTCGGCTCCACGCGCACATGGGGTTTGCCGGGCGGGTTTAAAAAGCTCTCCTTAGTCAATGTACTTTGATCTTTAAAATCATGTTCCTCTCTTTGAAGTCACATCTCTTTTCTGTCTCACGGCCATGGTCACCCGCCCATCCCATGTAGCTGCCCTACTCCAGGATGTAATGGATCGGGACACATCCGGGGGAAATACGCAAGACATAGGAGGTGAGTTTCTATGACCGTTGGCAACGCCACTGGTATCGTCACGTGCAACTGTGTTTTTCTTGTTAAGGAGACTGGTGCATGGAAGCAAACTTAGGACAATATGGTTGTGGCTAGATTTATCTATGTAGGTCTATTTGGGCACTGCTGTATAGGTCTGGACACTGTTCCTTCTATTGTAGAGCTGGAAGAAGCTTCACCACAAAAAGGAGGGGGCAGCTAAAACGGTCAAGCAGTGAAAGCTCTTTGAGGAAGTTTCAAAAACATCTGACCTTTATCTGAAGATAATTAGTGGGAGGCGCCTTCGTCAGGGTTATGTAGGACCAGTCCTAGGCAAAAGGTCTTTCCCTTGTTGATGCCACATCTCTGGAACTTCCCACTGAAGCCCAACTGATGCTGATGTCATTTGGGCACCAGGCTAAACCTTAGCTTCTTTGCCTGGACATTCTAAGTGTTGCAAAGAAATGTGATTCATTTGCTCTGTGCTTTTTAAGGCACCAGTTTTGTTTTGACAGCAATGTTGTATAGTTTTATTGTGCTGCATTGTGAGATATATAGGGAGCACCTCTAGTATACTCCACTTATAGTTCAGGATGCAAGGTGTGCCAAAATATTTTTAAGATATAGATAGATAGATAGATATAGATATAGATATAGATATAGATATAGATAGATAGATAGATAGATAGATAGATAGATAGATAGATAGATAGATAGATAGATAGATAGATAGATAGATAGATAGATATAGATATAGATACTTCTACAAATATAGATAATAGATATAGATATAGATATAGATACTTCTACAAATAAATAGTTTTAAAGAACTGATGATAGATAGATAGATGAGAGACGTGTGTGTGTGTGTGTGTGTGTGATCTATCTATCTATCACCAGTTTTTAAAAAACTATTTATTTGTAGAAGTGGCTATGGAGAAGCACTTCCCCTTATAAAATCAGAATTTGAAGTCAACCAATGGAACTTATTGAAAACCATTAAAAGCTATTATTCTTCAAACCACATGTTTGTGGGATACTTAAGTTGTCCAAGAGAGGACACGGAGCAAAAAGAAAAGTTTGGTCTCAATCTAGCACAGATCTTTTTATATTCCCCTGATTTCCCAGTAGTCACAGCTGAAATCTTTAATAGGTCTGGATAGCAAAGTGAGTGGTTTCCATGAAATGATTAAGTGCTTCCTTCTTCTACTTACTATGAACAACAGTGAAAGAAACACTGGTTGAAATCCATCCCTAACAGATTATGACACAGCTTGGAAAAGATAAGTCTTTTTTTCTTTAACTACTGGGGGATTCTGGGAATTGCAGTCTAAATAAGTAACATCTCCAAACTTACGAAAGGTGGAATATCTCTTTGAATCAGGACAGTTCTGGACAGTGTGCTTGAAGAAGGATGCCAACAAACTGCAACAAGTTCACAGAAGGGGTGATATGGAGGATCAGGGGACTGGAAACCAAGCCTTAGGAGGAAAGACTGAAAGAATCGGGCATGTTTAGCTTTGAGAAAAGAAGACTGAGGGGTGATATGATAGTACTTTTGAAATACTTGAAAGGCTGTCATTCAGAGGAGGGGTCAGAGTCTGTTTCCCCTCATCCTAGAGTCCAGGATATGCAACAATGGGCTCAGCTTACAGGAAACTAGATTTTGGCTGAATATCAGGAAAAACATCTTAACTGTTAGAGCAGCATGACAATGGAATCCATGACCTCCGGAGGTGGTGAGTGCTCCAAGACTAGAGGACTTCAAGAAGAACATAGACAACCACCTTGCAGATATTCTTTGATTTGTATTCCTGCATTGAGCAGGGGTTTTGGACTTTATAGGCTCCTTCCAACTTTATGATTCGAGGAAGCAGCAAAAGCACTGCACAGCTGTAATCTGTGGAAGCTTCCTGCATCCGCAAGACAGCTTTTTCCCAGGTCAGCTGAGCGGCTCCTGCCCTTTCTCTTAAAAAGGAAAACTCTTTAAACCTAGATATCAAGAACAAGCTACAGCTGCAGTGAAGCTGTGAAATTAAGAAAGATCACATGAAACCAGCAAACCCCCTGACACATGACAAGCAGGCTACTTAGCTCAGTTGGAAGAGGTGAACAGAGAGGCTAGGGAAATCCTTAAGTGAACTTCAAGCCACACAACAGGGCAGAAGTGTTGATTCTACTCCATCCAAGACTGTAAGCAGTAAAAAAAAGAGAGAGAGAAAAAAAAGGAATCTGGGATGAATATGTACATTTGCAAATACATTTATGTCCATTTTTCTTTCTTTTTTTATTAGCTGCAGGGCCCTTCAACTAGTAGGGAAGTGCCCATGTTTGCTGGGAGTGATAGTTCAAAAAAGTAATTTTGCAATGCAAAAAAGGGAACTTTTTGAAGTTCTACAACAGGGCACTGGAATCACAGATGCATCCATTATGGCAGGGGTAGGGTGGCTGGATAGCTCAGTGGTTTCACCATCTGGTTGCAGAGCCAGAATTCCCCACTGGACTTCTTATGAATGGAGCCAGCCTGGGAAGCCTCGGGCAAGCTGCACAGTCCCAGAGCCTCTTATGAATGGAGCCAGCCTGGGTAGCCTCGGGCAAGCTGCACAGGGCACCCCCCCCCCCAGAAGAAGGGAACAGTAAACCACTTCTGAGTATTCATTAGTATTACCTAGAAAACCTTGAAAAGCTTTGCCATAAGTCTGTATTGACTTGAAATGGTGATTACTTCTAGGCAACATATACCCCGTGTGCTCAGGGGTTCCTTACACCTCAAGGCTCCACACATACCTTCCAAAAATGTATAATTAGACTAAAGTGTGTGTAAGAGAATTTATCCAGTTTTTAAAAATGCTGTTTCCCTGGAGCTATAGAACTGACTGTTATCAGTCCCTCATCATGGAGAGTAATTCAGACCACCAGAACAAGGGCAAAGATCCAGGCACTCCTTGTGGATGCCCTCCTCGATCCGATTACTAAACATTCAAAGATTCGAACAATAGCAGGCTTCAACTTGGCAAAAATGTAAGATCCAATAAAGTCCTCATCTGCCTGGCTGACACTTTCATCTCCCAGAATGTGAAAGAACCAGCTGTTCCAGATCTGATCCTTGCCAATAGGGAAGAACAAGTCCATGAGGAAGAAGTTACAGGAACTTTAGGTGAAAGTGGCTGTGGATGGGTAAGGTAAAGGTAAAGGTTCCCCTTGACAATTTTCGTCCAGTCGTGTTCGACTCTAGGGGGCGGTGCTCATCCCCGTTTCCAAGCCATAGAGCCAGCGTTTGTCCGAAGACAATCTTCCGTGGTCCCATGGCCAGTGCGACTTAGACACGGAATGCTGTTACCTTCCCACCGAGGTGGTCCCTATTTATCTACTTGTATTTGCATGCTTTCGAACCGGTAGGTTGGTGGGACCTGGGACAAGCGACGGGCGCTCACTCCGTCGCGTGGATTCGATCTTACGACTGCTTGGTTTTCTGACCCTGCAGCACAGTGCCACCACGTCCCTGGGTATCTCCCTATAAACAAAGCCCCAGGTTCCTTCATCCTACTTAGAGAGAAAGATTGGGAAGGTTGCCTTGGTTTGGTGTTGTTCTTGGTATCAAAACAAGAGAGACGGGAAGTCCAAGGATATCATGGCCAGCACAGCCATGTCTTGACGACAAGATTCTAGGAAAGAATATTTCACTGGTCCTGTGGACTTCAGATCAAAAGCATCCTAGCAATCAGTGTTGGATGCGCTTGTCTGTAACATTTGATTAACTAGCCAAGCCAGATTTTAATTATTTTTCTGGTCATTTGGCAGAACCATATCCCTAGGTACCATGGGACATGGTGGCACTGCAGGTTAAAACGCAGAAGCCTCTCTGCTGCAGGTTCAGAAGACAAGCAGTCATAAGATCGAATCCACACGACGGAGTGAACCCCCGTCACTTGTCCCAGCTCCTTGCCAACGAAGCAGTTCTAAAGCATGTAGAAATGCGAGTAGATAAATAGGTACCACCTCGGTGGGAAGGTAACGGCATTCCATGTCTAGTCGCGCTGGCTACATGACCACGGAAAATTGTCTTCAGACAAAATGTTTGCTCTAAGGCTTGGAAACAGAGATGAGCACCGTGCCCTAGAGTCAGACACAACTGGACTAAATGTCAAGGGGAACCTTTAAAAAATCCTTAGGTACCATTGGAAGCAGTACATAGTTATTTATATCTACCTGTCTGTCTCTGTGTATGAGATAATTAAGAGTTTTATTTTATCTCTGGACATGTGGGGGTGACGTGATCAGCAGCAAGGTTCATCTGGGGAAAGGGTTAACCCTTTACTCCCAGAAATGCGCTGATTTTGTTCAGATCAATTTGGGTCCCAGACCGGAATCAGTCTTTTAAGCCTCGCATTGACCTGCAGTAGAATACCAAAATCATTTGTGACTCATTTATTTTTGCATGGATGTTAATGAAATTTGGAAACATGAGAGATCATACAGAGGCAAGTGAATATGCTAAATTTCAAGCAGCTTGTGTCTTGAGTTTGCATAGTAGGTATCTTTAAACTTTGCTGTTTTTTTTAAAAAAAGACTGAAGTGATTTATGCCTCATATGGTTCAGTCTGTACTCCACATTGATTTGTAAATTCAAATCACTTTGCACCACAAGTAAATATAATCACATTGTATTGGACCTCACATAAATCATTCCAAATCAGCTCAATTCAGCTAGTAGTTCAGGATTTGTCCAAATACAGTGTTGAGCTGTGGTTGAAATCCAGATTGGCAAAGGGCCCATTGACTGCTTTTAGACAAAAACACAAAGATGCATTTAACATGACACCTAATTAGGCCCTATGACTCAGTCTTGGTTCACTGAGTACTGGCCTTCATTAAGTGACCTGCTTCACAAGGTAGTTTGGAGGATGAAAGATGAAGCCGTCCTTTGCACTGTTCTCCTGGGCTTCTTCATAAGCGCACATGTAACTTGGTATTCCTGAAGCATGAATCCCATGCTTCATGATTGCTAAATTCCATTTTTAATCCCAGAATTGGGAACAAAATGAATTTTATATAGACAGGTAAAGAGGTATAGATGATAGACTGATGGATCTAAATCAGTGTTTCCCATCCTTAGGTCCCCAGGTGTTCTTTGGCTAAAACTCCCAGAAGCCCTCACCACTCGCTGGGCTGGCCAGGATTTCTGGGAGTTGCAGTCCAAGAACATCTGGAGACCCAAGGTTGGGGACCACTGATCTAGAAGGCAGGGCAATCTCCTGACTTCTAGGGACCACACACCACATCCTTGAACCTCAAAGAATTGCACCTTCTCCCATGAACCCTTTAGATTAGGCATCCTTCAGTCTTGAGAGACTATAGTAACGTGCTCTGAATAGAGGACTTGGAACAGCGTCTAGTGTGGTTGAAGAGGTCTCCTCATGAACCCTACCCCTTACCAAAAAAATACCCTCACAAAAATGGGTGGGTTTTTAACCGAGAAATCTTCCTTGTGCTCTTTAAATGGACACCCCCCCCCAATATTATAGAAAAATAAATATTTGGAAGGGCAGAAATGCTGGGTGTCCTTCAAAATAAGGTCAGTTTCTCCCCCCTCAGTCATTTAGAAGACAGATGGGGGCTTTCTGAGGAAATTCTTTCTCTCAATCTCTCTCTTTTTAATTGGCTCCTTAAGGTACTTAAGGATCTGTACAGACAGACAGACAGACAGCTCTACATACAAAGAAGAAATAATGTAGACTCTTTCTCACAACTTTTGAATGAATCTGTATTGAACTACAAGTGAAGCCTAAGGCAAGAATGGGTTATTTTAGATCTCAGATTTGTGGGGGATTAGCAGAAATTTATGGAGAAATGAGATTGGAGGAGACCAGGGATTATGAATTACCGTATTTTTCGCTCCATAAGATGCACCTTTCCATAAGACGCACCAATTTTTTAGGAGAAGAAAACAGGAAAATATAATCTGTTTTCTTCGCTCCATAAGACGCACAGACTTTCCACACCCGTGTTTTGTGGGAAAAAAGTGAGTCTTATGATGCAAAAAATACAGTATATAAGAACAGGGTAAAAACAGAGGTTTGAGAACTGCTGAACATCATAGAAGGGAACTGAGAAATTTAAGGAGGAAACATGGTGACACTTGTACTCAGCTAGGTTGTGGTCCGGATTATTTACTGACTGGTTGGACTAAAGAGTCAGGTGTTTAAAACTAAGGAAGATATGATACATTTAAAAAGTTATTTTAAAAAATGACAAACCCGAGTAGGGGGCCAGTCACAGTGATAACAGAAACAATAAAATAATTTCATATTGACAATGCCTGGGGAACTGTTAAGTCAAAACTATAATATCTGGCAAAATGCTGTCAAGCAAGGGGCTAAAGAATTTGAAATAAGAAGAATCAACGATGCACTCGTCTATGGCTCCTTTGACACCTGAGCACTGTGACTCAATCTCTCTCCCCCTTTTCTTCCTTCTCAGTTTGCAAAGTTTCACGGACACACTGAGATAACAATGAAATAATTTAATATTGACAATGCCTGGGGAACTCTAACTCAAAACTATAATATCTGGCAAAATGATGTCAAGCAAGGGGCTAAAGAATTTGAAATAAGAAGAATCAACGATGCACTCGTCTATGGCTCCTTTGACACCTGAGCACTGTGACTCAATCTCTCTCCCCCTTTTCTTCCTTCCCAGTTTGCAAAGTTGCCCATTAGCAAAGAAGAGGAAGCTTCAACATGCAGAGGCAGAACATCTGGCATCCAAGAGGAAGTCCCACCCCCTCAAGCTAGCCCTCGATGAAGGCTACAACGTGGACAGCGATGGCAGTGAAGAGGCAGAGTTGAAAGAGGAGTCAGTGACGGGCGACTCCGAGGGCACGGTGGAGGAAGAAGAAGCGGAGACGATAGACCAAGAAGAAACCTGCAGTAACCCTCCACCGGAAGAAGGTGTTTTATATCACTATTTGACTGCAAAGGTTTATTTTATTGACAGGAACTGTGCCAAGCGTGTTAACAGCCTAGTGCTATAGCACCTCTAAATAATGTAGGGTGAGTGTCCTCCAGTTATATTCATGCCAAGAAAGAGAACATTCCGTATTTAATGGAAGGAACAAGAGGTTCCAATGTTTTTCTTTAGTCTAGAAGGGGTAACTTCGTATCTTGCTGGAAAAACTTTGTATTTCGGTTTTGCAAATTTGTTTCTGTTGGGTTTTTTTTAATCTACGTAGGAGAAAAAAAATACAGTTTAATGATAACCACATCCTCATCCTCATCACGGTGTGCTGTCAAATCAATTCTGATGCATGTCAACCCTTTTTAGGGTTTTCCAAGTAGAGCGTACTTGGAAGTGGTTTCCCATTGCCTTCTTCTGGAGGTGCCCTAGGTCTGTGCAGCTTGCCCAAGGCCATAGAGGTTGGCTGTACTCACAGGAGGCACAGTGGGGGAATCAAACGCTCAACCTCTTGTTCCACGGAGCTATCCGGCCAACTGTATACACATCATAACTAATCCTTTTTCTTCCTCCTGCAAAATTTGGTTTGAAATGAATAAATAATATTACTCTCCCCCTTCCCACTCTCTCTTGATCTCATTCTCAGCTTGCTAGATTTTTCACTGAATGTATTAAATGTTTTGACCCAGACTGTCCTGTTTACAGGGCTATACGCTGTGGGTTAAACCGCTGAAGCCTCTGTGCTGCAAGGTCAGAAGACCTGCAGTCGTAAGATCAAATCCACGCGACAGAGTGAGCTCCCATCGCTTTGTCTCAGCTCCTACCTAGCGGTTCGAAAGCATGCCAAATGCGAAAATGCGAGTAGATAGATACCACCTCAGTGGGAAGGTAAACGGTGTTCCGTGTCTAGTCACGCTGGCCACGTGACCATGGAAAATGTCTTCGGACAAACGCTGGCTCTATGGGTTGGAAACGAAGATGAGCACCACCTCCTAGAGTCGGACACGACTGAACAAATTGTCAAAGGGAACCTTTACCTTTACCTTTTTACAGTATCTGACCAGTCATACCAGTTACTGGTACATTTACATTTTCTGGAGAATGGTTTAAATATGTGAGGACGGGAGGTTTTGTTAGCCCTGTTTATATTCCCGTCATTCCCCTTGTGTGAGAAGCAACATTTTTAAGAGGAGAACCTCATTTGTGAGTGGAACCTTTCTATTTGATCCAAAACAATGATTTTGTGGCATTCTAGGTTGCATGGGTAGGTCCTCATATATAGGAGGTTCTCCTTTTCAGACATCTGATTGTACTCCAGCCGCCTAGAGTGGTCGTATAGACCATTATATTCCCGTCATTCCCCTTGTGTGAGAAGCAACATTTTTAAGAGGAGAACCTCATTTGTGAGTGGAACCTTTCTATTTGATCCAAAACAATGATTTTGTGGCATTCTAGGTTGCATGGGTAGGTCCTCATATATAGGAGGTTCTCCTTTTCAGACATCTGATTGTACTCCAGCCGCCTAGAGTGGTCGTATAGACCAGATGGGTTGGGTGGTATATTCTTCTAAAATTGCGTGGGTTGATTCAAAATAGAGGGTTATCACTGCTGTCGGTCAAAGGAGGGCTTTCCGATTCTCTTCATCCAAAGATTGGTAGCAAATGGAAAACAAAATGGAACAGGTGGAGGAAGGACATAGGAAGGTTGAGAGTGGGACATGGCATCTGGGCCTCTCTAAAAACTGACTGGGGCAGGGCAGTTGTCTTATCTGGAAATATGTCTCACATGGAACCGCAGCTATCTGTTTCCAAAGCCATCTTACAGAGATGGGCACGGACTACCAGCTCAACGATTCGTGCTGGTCCAGTGGATGGGCTCAAAAAGGTGTTCCATGGTTAGCACCCCCACCCCCTCCAGTGGGAACCCACTCAGAGGCAGCACCCAGAGGAGGTGGGGGCAGGGAAGCTGGAGGACTGCTTCTGAGTGGACTCCTGCAAAGCACCGAACCACGGAACAGCTGCTTGGCTTTTCACCGAATTTGCAGTTCATGCCCATCCCTAGAACAAACCCAACTGATACGACAAGCTTGTTGAACTGTGTTCTTAAGCAATGATGGCTTCTGATGCAACAGCCAGGCGGCTTCAATACTGAAAGCCTTCCCCACAAGGCTTTGAGATGAAGTGTGCAACAGACACCTCGCATTTGGTCACATCCAGTTCCTGGAACAACTTGGCATCAAGCCGGTGACCTAACAAAACATGTAGTAAAGTTTTGAGTGCCATCTTTCACATGCACACTGGTCATACTCTCTTTGTATGTACCAACCATGTGACTCAGATGCACCCTGGCATGCCATTATTTAGTTGCAGTTAGCCACGGCAAGTTACAGGCATTTTGCACAAGCACCAGTTGGATTCTTCCCATCCTATTAAACTGTCTTCTGGAAAAGCGGGAACCTCAGCACATTTGCTTCATTGGAACTGGTCCAGTTCAGTTCAGGGTTTGGCCAAATCAAAAGGACACCCTAGTCAGAATCCATCCATTAGTCTTGTCAATGGAAGTCCTTTTTTTTAAAGCCACAATGGACACCGATCCACCGAAAGACTTGTTGGGACCAAATATAGGGAATTACAAGTAATAACCAAAAGAAGGTTGGTTGGCTTGGGGGTCCAAGCTTCCTAAATGCATGCTATACTGTGCTCTTCCATAAGCATCAACCTTCTGCCATTTCAATGGCAGAAAAAAACATATTCATCTAGAAAAGGGCCAAGGAAAATACAAAAGGATTTTAGCTGGCAACATCCTGGAGAAAAAGGATGTCATGACGCTGAACCACATGACGCTGTGGTTAAACTGAAGTACTGCAGTCAAAGCTCTGTTCACAACCCAAGTTTGACCCCAACAGACTCAGGTAACTCACTCTAGGTTGACTTAGCCTTTCATCCTTTTGAGGTTGGTAAATTGAGTTCCCAGATTGCTGGGAACAGGGCGCAATGTGTAGCCTGCATAATTAAATTGCAAACCGCCTAGAGAGTTCTTTAAGCACAGTGGTATATAAGCAGCATACTTCGCTTTTTGTTCACAACCCAAGTTTGACCCCAACAGACTCAGGTAACTCACTCTAGGTTGACTTAGCCTTTCATCCTTTTGAGGTTGGTAAATTGAGTTCCCAGATTGCTGGGAACAGGGCGCAATGTGTAGCCTGCATAATTAAATTGCAAACCGCCTAGAGAGTTCTTTAAGCACAGTGGTATATAAGCAGCATACTTCGCTTTTTGTTTTGCTGATATTCATCGGAGCAATTTTAGGAAGGAAAGCTCCTGTTTACTTGTCATTGCTGAGTAATACTATACACATGACCCTTTCTGAAGTATAACAGCAATGTAATGGCCAACTCTCTTTTTAAATCTAGGTCAGACAGTGGAAGAGACTCTGGAAGCCAAGGAACAGGGAGGTGAAAGTGACGGACAAGTCTCTAATGCTGGGGAAGACGTCACACATTTGCTGCAGGAAGGAGTGGCAGAGGAGGAAGAGGAGGAGGAAGAGGAGGAGGAGGAGGAGGAGGAGGAGGCAATCCAGGAGGAATGTGAGAAGGAGATCATCATTCAGACTGAAGATGCGGAAGAAGTCATCGAGGTCACCAGCGAGCGCAGCAGCGATTTGTGCCTGGATCACCATCGGGATGAGGAGGTGAGCTATAATGAATCATGCAAACTGAGAAAAGAGGAGGAGGAAGACAATGAAGAGGAGGAAGAGGAGGAGGAAGAGGAGGAAGAGGATGAGGAAGAAGAAGAGGAGGAGGAGGAGGAGTATGAAGAGGAAGAAGAGGAAGAAGAGGAGGAAGAGGAGGAGGAGGAAGAAGAAGAACCAGCAAGCCAAGTAATCTGTGAAGAAGCTCCTCATACATCTCAGGATTCCCCCAAAACCCACTGTGAAGGACTGACAACAAGCCCCAAGCCTGAGTACTCTGTTATTGTGGAGGTGAGATCGGATGATGACAAGGACGATGACTCTCACTCCCAGAAATCCACTGTGACGGATGAATCGGAGATGTACGACATGATGACCCGAGGGAACTTGGGGCTTCTGGAGCAGGCCATTGCATTGAAAGCTGAGCAAGTCAAGGTGGTGAGGGAGCCTGGCCAGCCGCTGACAGGGGAACATGCAAAACATTTCCAGGTGGAGGAGAAGCAGAATAAAGCCTTGGATTCCATCAGAAAGAGCTACTACGGCAAAGGTGAGGTCTTTGCCGTGCTGGTGGCATAGTACATCCAGTTTGGGTAGGGTGGTGTGGGAGACTCACCCTTGTTGACCTCTACTAGGTTTCCCTTCACCTCCAGCCCACAGCTTCCAGTGATCAGGTCATTGTTCCCAGCATAGATCAAGAAAACACGAAGGAGTCACAGGGCACTGGAACACAGTGGCAGCTCACATCTATAAGGGCTGATGGAGCAGAAGGCCAAGCAGATCATGGTGATGGAGTCATGGATAACAACCAGCTCCTACCTGTTGCCAGTGTCCTAGGCTTCCTTCCCTTCTTTTTCATGTACTCATAGTTTAGCTGAAGGTTGGTGAGGAGGGAAAGACATACTGTATGAGGTCTTGGTCCTTCCGCTCCTTGCAAAGAGACAAGAGTGGGATGTCTGAGCATCTTCTGAAGCCATGCTGGGGCAGCACCACATTTGTGCTAATAGATCAGCTTCCCCTAATGGAACCCAACGGACTCTTTCTCTATCCCACATCCTCCTTGACCATAAAGGGAAGATGCTGGTATTCTCTTCTAGAACCATTGAGCCTGCTGGCCTAATCCTTGCAGCACTAGCTTATATCAGTGGTTGTTTCTGCTCCACTGTTTGCATGTCTTGGTTTGCAGTGACCTCAGAAGATAAATCTACAACGGAGAAGCATAACCTTCTTCTTGTTATTGAACCTTTCTCCTGCTCTGTTACCAAATGTGGGCAGAATCCTTACACCAGAAGAGAGACTAAGACTGGGGACATTTAGGGTCACCTATTTCTGAGTAAGACTGGGGACATTTAGGGTCATCTATTTCTGAAAAGAGGGGTAAAGCAGTTTTACTTTTAAAAATCGTATCTCAAATCCCCTTTGCCCAAACCTGCCCATATTTGGCACAAAACAAGCACAGACTGTCTGCTAAAACTATGCCACATTTGGTGCAACTCTAAAAACTCATTTTGAAAATGATACGTTTTTGTTTGGGTTGCCCCCATTTTTAGATGCCACTCTAAAAGCTCATTTTGAAAGTGATACGTTTTTGTTTGTGTTGCCCCCATTTTTAGAATTGACTTGTAGAATGTTGACTTGCTCTTTGTTATTATTATTATTTATTTGATTTCTATACTGCCCATCTGGCAACCCAGGCCACTCTGGAAGGTTTACACGTTATGATAATACAATGCAATATAATGCAATGCAATAAAACAGAACAATAAGACATAAATAATCAATACAACATAAATAAAAGGGTTACACATTATGATAATACAATGCAATACAATGCAATGCAATAAAACACAACAATAAGACATAAATAATCAATACAACATAAATAAAGTAACAATAATGCCAATAAGAACATTACAAATAAAATAGTATAAGCATGGAGGAGGGTTGAATATCTAGCTGTTAAAACACTACTGTGTCAGTATATTATAAAGTCCAGGAAGGCCTGTCTAAATAACCATGTTTTTAATTATTGTTTGAAAGTTCTGAATGAAGGGGCCAAGGGAATTTTGGGAGGATATTATAAAGTCCAGAAAGGCCTGTCTAAATAACCATGTTTTTAATTATTGTTTGAAAGTTCTGAATGAAGGGGCCAAGGGAATTTTGGGAGGAAGGCCATTCCACAGTCACAGGGTGATCACCAAGAAGGCCCAGTTTCTTGTCATTGTTTTCCAAGCCTCTCTCGGGGTCAGAACTCTCACTGTCCAGACTGGGAATACCTTACAGGGCGGGCAGATCTAGTCGGAAAGAGGTGTTCCGCAAGATGATCTTGTGCCCTGTCAGCACAAGATCATTACTGTACTTTTGTGCACCAATAATGCGTGTTGCTATGTGAGCAAATGCAGGTGAACTGAAGAATTAGGTGGCAGAAAACTATGTAAGAGTTTCTGCCTGCCCAGTGTTTTAGGAGCAGATGACAACTATGTCTATAGGAGTATCATTCCCAGAGCCTTTTTTTATACTATCCATTTGTTTTCCCAGATTCTTTAGTTCTGTGTATATTTCCTAATCCTGCACAAATCTCCATAGCTGTTATTAGACTCGTCAATGAAATATCGCCTAGAGCATAATGCAAACTACATGATTCTTTCTCATGTGAAGAGCATCAGGGGAAACCAAGAGAATTTTGATTTGAGTGGTTTTATTTATCAGAGGAGTTTTGAATCTTTACTTTCTCATCCATTTCTGCCTGTACCCTCTTCTCCGTTCACTTCTTAGATCCTTCAAGACCTGAGAAGCGTGAGATCAAATGCCCCACTCCCGGCTGTGATGGCACAGGACATGTCACAGGGTTGTATCCTCACCATCGGAGTTTGTCTGGCTGCCCACACAAAGACAGGATCCCTCCTGAAAGTAAGTACATGTTAGTGCTAGTCGCACAACAGATGTGGTCTTATTGCTGCTGCAATAAGAGGGACGTGGTGGCGCTGCGGGCTAAACCGCAGAAGCCTGTGCTGCAGACACAACAGATGTGGTCTTATTGCTGCTGCTACTGCTTCTATGAAATGATGGTATATTAGTACTCAAAATAATGGGATATTCTGGGTATCATGTCGGAGAGTGAAGAATATAACAGAAAGGTGGCGGCTGAGCAAACTAAAGAAGTCCATAACTTTGTATTGGGAAGATCTCAGGAATTTATTTATATATTTTAAACTATTTTTTATCCTGCCTTTCTCCTTTAAAGGGACCTAAAACCGCTTACAAAAGTTAACAGGCAGTATTTAAGCTAATAACAGGGAATATAGAATATTCCCTGTTATTAGCTTATTGAAAGATTCATCCATCAATGAATACAATACCAAGAAACATAAGCAACACCAAATCACATTCAATGCAGTAAGGTACAACAATCCATTTTAAAAACCCCACTCAAACAATCAGTCCCTTGCCTGAAGAGAAAATTCTTCTGCTTGTGGAAGGACAGCCAAGATGGGGCCAGCCTGGCCCCCTGTGGGAGGGAGTTCCACAGTCCATGAGCAAGAATTGAACAGTTAACTTTAAAGAAATGTTAAATCCTTAATAAATTAGCATAAAATTATGTTAAAAGATATACTCATCTCCATCCCCTCATGTCCAGCACCAAAGGACAAACATTCAGTACCTGGAGCTGTACAATTGTGTATTTTACAACAGCATCACAAGAATCATTGTGTTTGTTTATGACCATAAAGTGAAATAACTGTTTTATTTGTTCATTTCAAAGACTGGAGATTGGAGGAGGTGGGGAGGGATAAAACAAGAAGACATCCATTATTTTCTGTTTGGTTTTTTAAAAAAATTAAACGCGAATGCAAGCTATTACATTTGAAGGAAGTGTAAGACAAATTAATTTCTTTGCTTTTAAGGTCATCACTGCGGGAGGCAATAAGATTGGAATCCTTTTTTTAAAAAAAAAAATCAAAGAATACAGATAAAAGCAAATACAATTCCAATCACTCAAAAGTACCTGAAAGAGACAGACAGTAGAATTGTAATGAAGAAGGAGAGAAAATCATTTTCCGAAGTGTATAATAAGAGAGAAGAACAAATTCATGTGGCTGCTAAACAGTCACCCATCCAAATGATGATTGCAGATTAATTATCTTATCTGGAAATATGTCTCACATGGAACCGCAGCTATCTGTTTCCAAAGCCATCTTACACAGAGATGGGCACGGACTACCAGCTCAACGATTCGTGCTGGTCCAGTGGATGGGCTCAAAAAGGTGTTCCATGGTTAGCACCCCCACCCCCTCCAGTGGGAACCCACTCAGAGGCAGCACCCAGAGGAGGTGGGGGCAGGGAAGCTGGAGGACTGCTTCTGAGTGGACTCCTGCAAAGCACCGAACCACGGAACAGCTGCTTGGCTTTTCACCGAATTTGCAGTTCATGCCCATCCCTAGAACAAACCCAACTGATACGACAAGCTTGTTGAACTGTGTCCTTAAGCAATGATGGCTTCTGATGCAACAGCTAGACGGCTTCAATATTGAAAGCCTTCCCCACAAGGCTTTGAGATGAAGTGTGCAACAGACACCTCACATCTGGTCACATCCAGTTCCTGGAACAACTTGGTATCAACCCTGTGGCCTAACAAAACATGTAGTAAAGTTTTGAGTGCCATCTTTCACATGCACACTGGTCATACTCTCTTTGTATGTACCAACCATGTGACTCAGATGCACCCTGGAATGCCATTATTTAGTTGCAATTAGCCACGGCAAGTTACAGGCATTTTGCACAAGCACCAGTTGGATTCTTCCCATCCTATTGAACTGTCTTCTGGAAAAGCGGGGACCTGAGCACATTTGCTTCATCGGAACTGGTCCAGTTCAGTTCAGTGATTGGCCAAATCAAAAGGACACCCTAGTCAGAATCCGTCCACTAGTCTTGTCAATGGAAGTCCTTTTTTTTTAAGCCACAATGGACACCGATCCACCGAAAGACTTGTTGGGACCAAATATAGGGAATTACAAGTAATAACCAAAAGAAGGTTGGTTGGCTTGGGGGTCCAAGCTTCCTAAATGCATGCTATACTGTGCTCTTCCATAAGCATCAACCTTCTGCCATTTCAATGGCAGAAAAAAACATATTCATCTAGAAAAGGGCCAAGGAAAATACAAAAGGATTTTCGCTGGCAACATCCTGGAGAAAAAGGATGTCACGACGCTGAACCACATGACGCTGTGGTTAAACTGCAGTACTGCAGTCAAAGCT